ATGAGACTTTGTAGAAAGCAGCTGGTCTGAGTGATGTGATCAGAGTGCAGTAGATAATGTCTGACAGCAGTTTGAAGAGGAAATGGATTCTGTTCTGTTCTTCACTCATCACCTACCTGACAGCTGACACCTCACACCTGTTTCTCACCTGCAGGTCAGACAGGAGGACACACAGAGGATGGATCTGTTGGACTGATTGTTGGTCTGACTGTTTCTGCTGTGTTTCTTCTTGGAGTTGTTTTTTTCATTCACAGAAGATGTAAACAACAACCTAGTCAGGGTTCATACCAGCCTCCTTCTGGAAAGTAGCAGGTTGACATTTCTCAGGGAAAGGAAGATGATAAGATGACAGAATTTATTTTGATGCTGAACGTCCAGCAGATCAATATCAAACATGTTTGATTTGATTTTACATTTTATATTATCAGTCTGCTGCTGTTGGACTGACAGTTGGTGAGTCTGTCTTCTTTTTGCTTTTAGTGGTGGTAAAACAGATAAGTCAGAGTCTGCACAAGCCTCCAGAGCAGGAGTAAAATTACTTGGCTAAGTTAGTCATAAAAAATGTGGGGTTTTTTTTGTTTTTTTGTTTTTTTTTAAGGTCGTCTAATTTCAACAATAGTTAAAAAAATAGTGAAAGATCAACAGTCTAAACCAGCCATTTTGACGGCAGTTCAATTTGTGCCTGCTACTTTTTTTTCATTTCAAATTTATGATTATCTTTACTTTTCACATAAGTCCATAGTTTGACTGTCAAGTACTCCTGCAGTATAATCCACTAAAGTCTCAATTTCATTGTTCATATTTGAAACCGCAGGAAAAATATATAAATATGTTTAAACATTTAAGCTGCAGCATTAAAATACAAGGTTCAAGCTGCATTTAATCTGGTTTTATTGTGTGCATATTTATGTCTATATTAGGGCTGCCACAATTAGTCGACTAGTCACAATTACTTCAATGACTAATTTAATAGTCGACGCATTGTTTGAAGCTTTGTAAGATCCTGAATGATGCAGGAATAAGCAGTAGGATTTAAGAGTGTAATAACTGACTGAAACAGAAGATGGCAGCAGTGCATGGCTGCATTTGTAGGCCTATTACATCACAGCAATGCAACAAAGGCTGTCCTAATTCAAAGACTCCTCCAAATGCGGCCGACAAATGCATCCTCTTTTTCCCCAGATTTGAAGGATGGGTTGGGTGTATCCTTAGTGGCCCAACCTATCCCAGAATTCATAGCGCGGCTCAGCCAATTCCAGTGTCCAACAATGGCGGTAGCTACTTATTTTTAATATTACTCTTATTACTCTTTCTGGGTCCCAAAATAAACTTTTAAGATATTTTCAGGCGACATGTGCGTTTTACGTCCAATGGATGCATGATCTGATTAGTCGACATGATCTGATTAGTTGACTAATCTCAAAAATCATCGGTGACTAGTCGACTATCAAAATAATCGTTTGTGGCAGCCCCAGTATATATATACTGCATCTCTGTGTACCATCTGTCAGATGTTTCAAGAACTACTTTGCGTCCTCATTTTCAGTCTTCTGATAAGATTTGTCATGGAGAAGGAAAAACTACTACTACTACATAAATTTATTAGTTCTTTATTGTCTTTGTTACAGTATCAGAATCAATGACTGTTTTAGTGGGTTTTGAGTTTTGGTGACTCTTCCGTGTGCTACTTCATATTAAACATTCCAAGAGAGAGCCAGAAATTCATGATTTTTTAAATTTATTTATTGTTGATGGTTAATAAAGTTGTATCTGCATGAAAACTAAATGATGCAGTCATCATTAATTAATTTTAGTGCTGTTTTTCTTTTTTTTAATTAGATGTTTATTTAGATGTTTTCTGACATGACCAGTGAATCTGTCAATGCTTTTATGTGAGCTGGAATCAGTCCAAATCAAACAAAGCGACTATAGACTATATGACTATAGAATAGAAAAAAACCCAACAATCATATGACCCCCTATGAGCAAGCACTTTGGCGACAGTGGGAAGGAAAAACTCCCTTTTAACAGGAAGAAACCTCCGG